CAGGAAACCTGTTAAGTTTTTGGGGCCCACCAATAGTTCCGCTCGTTCCTGCCCGAAGCGCCCTTGCGCTGTCCGGCCCTGCTCGCACTGTGTCGAGCTGCCCTGCAGCTACTCGCGCAGCCTGCCCCCCGCACGTCGCGCCCTACTGCAGCCCGCGCGTCGCGCTCCGCTGCTCCGCGCGTCACTCCCTGCTTCAGCCCGCACGTCACGCCCTGCTGCCCTGCACGTCGCGCCCTGCTGCAGCCAGCGCGTTGAGGCCTACTGCAGCCAGCGCGTCGCGCTCTGTTGCCATGCGTGTCGCGCCCTGCTGCAGCCAGCGTGTCGCGCCCTACTGCAGCCAATGCATCGCGCTCTGCTGCCCTGCGCGTCGCGCCCTGCCGCAGCCAGCGCGTCGCGCTCTGCTGCCCTACGCGTTGCGCCCTACTGCAGCCAGCGCGTCGCGCTCTGCTGCCCCTCGCGTCGCGCCCTGCTGCAGCCAGCGCGTCGCGCCCTACTGCAGCCAGCGCGTCGCGCTCTGCTGCCCCACACGTCGCGCCCTGCTGCCCTGCACAGCGCACGCCCTGCTGCCCTGTCCACCGGGCGCCCTAGCCTGCAGCCCGCGGCGCGCCTTGCCCGGCCGAGACGCGCCGCCCAGCCCGAGCTGCCCTGCCCAACCCGAGCCGCGCCGCCCTACCTTGATCACCAGCCCCACCGAGCCGCCCTGCTGCCACTACTGCTGCTGCTGCTGCTGCTGCTGCTGCTCGTGCTACTGCTTCTGCTGGTGAAGGTGCTGCTGGGAGTGCTGGGAGTGCTGCTGGTGCTGGGGGTGCGACTGGGAGTGCTGGAGGTGCTGCTGGTGCCGGAGGTGCGACTGGGAGTGCTGGAGGTGCTGCTGGTGTCGGAGGTGCTGGACGTACTACTGACCGTCACTGCCTGTCATGGCCACTATCACAGCAGTTGCAGCGGCTAGGGGTGGACAGCGGCGGACACTGCCTCTCCCGGACGACCCCACCCCTCAGCAGCTTCGCGAGTCGGTTCTTCAGCGAGCCCGTCCAGGTGGTGGAGGCTTTGGTTTTCTACGTACTGCATAAAGGCGGCAGCAGAGTCAGCAGGAGACCTTCTCCCCTCAGGTGATTAGTGAGTTGTTTCCTCAACGATGTATCACTGGTTCTGTCAAGGCTGCTGCACTAGGTGCTAGTGAGTCTGCTGCCGCACTAGGTGCTAGTGAGTCTGCTGCAGCACTAGGTGCTAGTGAGCCTGCTGCAGCTTTAGGTGCTCGTGCGTCTCCCACCACAGGTCCTTCCTCAGCTGAGGCCTTGCACACTTTCACACTTGACTCATGTGCGTCACGTTGTTTCTTTCGTGACTGCACCACACTCACACCACTTGCTGCACCAGTACCGGTCTCACTGGCTGACCCCACTGGGGGCCCAAGAGTCGCACGAACCTCCACTGTCCTTCTGTGTCCAGCAGTCTCCTCCGGTTCTCTGTCAGGTCTCCACCTCCCCACGTTCTCGTGGTGAGCAACGCTGCCATTCAGGATGTCTGGGTTGGTACCTTTATTCCTCGAGGGCAGCGTGTGGCGATCTGTACGTGCTCCCGGTCTGGCCGTCACCTGGCTACGTTCACTCGACGGCCTGGGTCTAGTCTGTACACACTGACCACTGCGTCTGCACAGGTGGCTGAGGCAGGTCAGGTGGCTGCGTCGAGACAGGTGTCTGCGTCTGGTCAGCTTGCAAAGTCTTGCTCGTGTCGGGTACTCTCCCACCAGACTCTCCTATGGCACCACCGCCTCGGTCACCCCTCTCTACCGCGTCTCCGCGGTATGCACTCCCGTCTCCTTGTCTCTGGCCTTCCCAGGTCCCTGCCCTCCCTCCCACGCTCGCTTGCCCCGCCGTGCCTTCCCTGCGTCGAGGGACGGCAGCGCGCTGCTCCTCATTCCTCCGAGTTTCCTCCAACCACTGCTCCTCTGAAGACTCTCCACATGGACGTTTGGGGCCCGGCCCTCGTCGGTGGAATGGACCAGAAGCGCTACTTCCTGCTGATTGTTGACGACTACACACGTTACACCACTGTCTTCCCCTTGCGGTGCAAGGCGGACGTCAGCGGTGTTTTGATCCCCTGGATCCTTGCTACTCGTCGCCAGCTGCGCGAGCGGTTCAGTCGGCACTTCCCAGTCCTGCGTCTGCACTCTGACAGGGGCGGTGAGTTCTCTTCTGACCTCCTTGCGGAGTTCTGTCAAGACGAGGGCATCGTCCAGTCGTTCACGCTTCTGGCCTCTCCTTAGCAAAATGGGATTGCTGAGCGTCGCATTGGCTTGATCATGGAGGTTGCTCGTACCTCCATGATCCATGCGGCTACTCCCCATTTTCTGTGGCCGTTTGCGGTCCGATACGCTGCGCATCAGCTCAACCTCTGGCCACGTGTCTCTGAGCGAGAGACCTCGACCACACTCCGATGGACGGGGAAGGTTGGTGATGCGTCGGTGTTTCGGGTCTGGGGCGCGCTCTCCCTTGTTCGCGATGCCAAAGCGAGCAAGCTCTCTTCTCGCACTCTCCACTGCGTCTTCCTTGGCTTCCCCACCGATGCCCCGCCGAGGCAGTCAAACCACCCGCGCTCGCGTCGAGTCTTCTCCTCCCAAGATGTCACCTTTGACGAGTCTGTCTGTTACTACAGGCTACACCCGCACGCGTCCCACCCGGTCCCCCTAGCGCCTCTTTTCTTGGTACCAGTCCCCCCCCCCGGTAGACCCCCTCCCCCCACAGGGTCCTGCTCCCTCAAGTGTGTCGTAGGTAGACCCACCCCCCTTGGTTGAGCCTTTGGAGATCTCTTCTGACTCCTCTATCCCAGCTGAGGGGGGTGACCCCGCCGCTGACGACACGGCGGCCACTCGCCGCTCTCCACGCTTGGAGACCCCCCCTGGTTTTCCGCCTCGGCCGTCTTCGCCGCCTCCGCAGCCTGCTGGTGTGGACTCTGGAGCTGAGACTGCTGGTGCTGAGCCTGGGGGTGCTGAGACAGAGGGTGAGGGTTCTGGGGGTGCTGCGACTGGGGGTGTTGGTTCTGGGGGTGCTGCGACAGGGGGTGCTGTGACTGGGGGTGCTGACTCTGGGGGTCCTGCGAGTCCTGGTGGCGGTGGAGCTGTGGGTGACCCTGCTGGAGGTCCTAGAGCTGGACAGCCACCGCAGCCTGACCTACTTGAGACGCTCTCGCCGCAGGCGATTCGTGCGTGGATCGTTCGGCGAGGCAGTCCTGGTGGTGGAGGGTACGGACCTGCTGGTGCTGGAGCTTCTTGTCCTGGAGGTACTGCTGGTGCTGGAGGTATTGGAGGTACTGCTGGAGGTGCTACTAGTGCTGGAGGTAGTAGAGATGCTGCTGGTGCTGGAGGTGCCGGAGCTACTAGTCCTCGAGGTGCTACTAGTGCTGGAGGTGGTGGACCTACTAGTCCTGGAGGTACAGCTGGTGCTGGAGGTGCTGGAGGTGCTGGAGGTGCTGCTGGTGCTGGAGGCGCTGGAGCTGGAGGTACTGGAGGTGCTAACACTGGAGGTGCTGGAGCTGCTGCTCCTGGAGGTGCTCGTACTAGAGGTGCTGGAGCTGCCGGAGCAGGTGGTGCTGCTGGTGCTGGAGGTATTGGAGGTGCTACTGGAGCTACTGGCACTGGAGGTGCTGGAGGTACTACTGGTGCTAGAGGTCCTGGCACTGCCGGAGCTAGTGGTGTTGCTGGTGCTGGAGGTACTGGAGGTGCTGGAGCTGCTGGTGCTGGAGGTGCTGTTGCTGCTGGTGCTGGAGGAGCTGGAGCTGCTGGTTTTGCCTCGCGCCGCCTGTTTTTCTACCCGCAGTCGCAGTCGTCCATGCCGCTGCCTGACTCGGTCCTTCGCCAGATTCTTAGTCTCCCGTCTTCCACTGGCCTCACTCCAGCTCTCCTGAGTTCACTGACAAACCAGTCTCCGCCACAGCTACTGCCTGGCTCCTCGCTGCCTGCTCCTGCTCCGCACACTGAGGTGACTAAGTCCCTGACTGAGCGTCGTGAGCCTGAGACTCGTGCTTCCACACCTGTTCGTGCTCGTCGTGTCGCCCGTCCTCGTCCTCCTACTGTCCCAGGCACTCACGGTATGGCACTTCGTCCTTCCTCTGTTCCACAGCATGTTGTCCTGCCTAAGCCTCCCGCGTCCTCTCTTCCGCACGTTCCTGACCCCGAGTCCGACCTTGCTCATGCTGCCAGTCCTACTGTCACTCGTCTCCTTGCTACTGTCATCATTGACCCTGACCTTGAGTCTTCTGCAGCTAGGAGTCGACTCGACTACGTTGTGATTCTTGTTACTGAGTCTGAGTCTGTCTGACCTCCGTCCGTCGGCGGTGAGCCTGCCCTTAGCAGTGACGTACTTGAGGACAGACAGTTTGAGCTTGATTGTCTTGCGGCCGCTTTACTTCGTTTCGCATCCATGCTGCTTTGCCCTGAGGGAGACCCGGATGCACTTGACATCCCTACCCCACGCTCTTACGCCGAGGCGATCGCGGGTGAGTACTCCTCTCAGTGGCAGACAGCCATGGACGCAGAGATGGCTTCCTGGAAGTCCACAAGCACCTACGTTGACAAGGTTCCTCCTCCTGGGGTGAACATAGTCGATGGCATGCGGATTTCAGAGTGAAGCGGCCGCCGGATTCTCCGCCTGTCTTCAAGGCGCGTTACGTTGCTTGAGGCTTCAGTCCACGATAGGGGGTCGACTTCTTCCAGACCTTCTCCCCCACCCCAAAGATGACTACTCTTCGGGTGCTGCTGCACGTTGTAGCACAGCGTGACTACGAGCTGCACTCCCTCGACTTCTCCACAGCTTTCCTGTAGGGCAGCCTTCACGATGAGATCTGGCTACGCCACCCACCCGGCTTCATTGGGTCGTTTCCTGCAGGTACCCAATGGAGCCTCCGGCGGCCAGTCTACGGTCTTCGCCAGGCGCCCTGAGAGTGGCACGACACACTAAGGTCTACACTAAGGACTGTGGCGAGGAGGACCGGAAGCCGAAGCGCTAAAGGACCTGGTGCACCATGTGTGACTGAGTCAGGGTGATGGTGCGCCGTGCTCTGTCCCGGGTGATCTGCAAGCCAAGATTGCTGCGCAGCTCACCCAGGTCAGTGCAGGTGTGTCTCTTCTGCAGCTCCGACTTCACAAGGGCCAATGCCTCAGTGTCAGCAGTGACGAAGACCAAGTCGTCGACGCACAATAGGACGTAGAACGGCGGCAACGAAGTGTCGGTGCGCAGAAACAACGACGGGTCAGCAGAGGAAGGAGCAAACCCAAGAGCCACAAGCGTCGTCCTCAGTGTGTCGTGCCACTCGCGAGGCGCCTGGCGGAGACCGTAGACTGGCCGCCGGAGGCTCCACTGGTAACCTGCAGGAAACGACCCAGTGAAGCCAGGTGAGCGGCAAAGCCAGATCTCGTCGTGCAGGCTGCCCTGTAAGAAAGCTGTGCTGAAGTCAAGAGAGTGCAGCTCGTAGTCACGCTCAGCGGCGACGTGCAACAGAACCTGAATAGTGGTCATCTTTGGGGTAGGGGAGAAGTTCTGGAAGAAGTCAACTCCCTGTCGCTGACTGAAGCCTCGTGCAACGTAACGAGCCTTGAAGACAGACGGAGAACCTGGCGGCCGCTTCACCCTGAAAATCCACATGCCATCGACTATGTTCGCCCCAAGAGGGGGAACTGCGTCGATGTAGGTGCCTGTGGACTTCCAGGATGCCATCTCTGCCATTGAGAGGAGTAGGGAACCGTAATCGCCTCTGCATAAGAGCGCGGGGTCGGGATGTCTGGTGCATCCGGGTCTCCCTCAGGTGCAAACAACATGGCTACGAGATGAGTTACAGTAGCTGCAAGACACTCAAAGTCCTCCTGCCTGTCCTCAAGAACGTTCGTGCCAAGAGCACACTCACCCCCAACGGGCGAAGGACAGTCAGACTCAGACTCAGCAACAAGACTAGCAGCGTAGTCGAGACGACAGGCGGCAGCAAAGTCAACAAGCTCAGCAACTAGGGCAGACGCTGCAGTGGACTCAAACGAAGGGTCAGTGACAACAGTGTCTAGAAGACATGGGACAGTAGGACTGGTAGCACGAACTAAGTCAGACTCAGGGTCCGGACCGTCAGGAAGAGAGGACGCAGGAGGAGACGCCAGGGGAACTCGCAGTGGAATAGAGGAAGGACGAAGTGCCATAATGTGAGTGCCGGGGACAGGAGGAGGACGCGGACGAGGAACACGACGACCAGTGCGAACAGCGCGAATAGGCGAGGCAGGACGAGACTCAGGCTCACAACGCTTTGTAAGAGAGTATGTCTGCTCAGCGTAAGGAGAAGGAGCAGGCAGTGGGGAGTCAGGCTACAACTGTGGCTGCGACTGGTGAGGCAGTGGACACAACAAGCTAGGAGTAAGGCCAGTAGAAGAAGGGAGACTAAGAACCTGGCGAAGGACCGAGTTATGTGGTGGCAGAGGCGATGGCGGCGGCGGAACAAAAAACGGGCGCCGCTGCACAATGCCTCCAGCACCAGTACCGCCAGCTCCAGCACCCCCAGCGCCAGCACCTCCAGCTCCAGGGTCTCCAGCGCCAGCACCTCCAGCGCCAGGGTCTCCAGCTCCAGCACCTCCAGCTCCAGCTCCTCCGGCTCCAGCGCCACCAGCACCAGTGCCTCCAGCTCCAGGGTCTCCAGCTCCAGTACCTCGAGTATGAGCACCTCCAGGACCAGCAGCTCTAGCACCTCCGGTACCTCCAGCTCCAACAGTAACTCCAGCACCTCCAAGACTAGAAGCTCCAGTGCCTCCAGCTCCAGCTCCAGTGCCTCCAGCGCCAGCGCCTCCAGCGCTAGTGCCTCCAGCTCCAGGGTCTCCAGCTCCAGTGCCTCCAGCTCCAGGGTCTCCAGCTCCAGCGCCTCCAACTCCACCAGCTCCGGCAGCTCCAGTACCTCTAGTACGAGCACCTCCAGGACTAGCAGCTCCAGCACCTCCGCTACCTCCATCTCCAGCAATAACTCCAGCACCTCCAGGACTAGTAGCTCCAGCACCTTCAACTCCAGTGCCTCCAGCGACAGGGCCTCCTGCTCTTGCAGCGCCACTCCTAAGGCGTGTGCGCTGAGCAAACCACTCGCGCAGCTGCTGCGGTGAGAGAGGCTCTCGCTTGTGAGACAGTCGTGGCGAGGCACCCGCAGGACCTCCGGCAGACGCAGTACCCCTAGGCTCAGCACCCCAAGACTCCGCACCCTCCGACTCAGCACCCCCAGACTCCACACCCTCATGCTCAGTACCCCCAGGCTCCGCACCCTCAGGCTCAGCACCCCCAGACTCCGCACCCTCAGACTCAGCACCCCCAGGCTCCGCACCCTCAGGCTCAGCACCCCCAGGCTCCGCACTCGCAGGCTCAGCACCCCAAGACGCAGCACCCCCAGACGCAGCACCTCTAGCAGCACCTAAGTCTACAGGGACCTCAACAGGCTCAGCCAGGGGGAGTGGGTCTACCTGGGACACACCTGAGGGAGCAGGACCCTGAGGGGGGCGGGGGTCTACCGGAGGGGGACCTGGAGCGAGGAAGAGCGGCGGGGGGGGGAGAGGGGCAGTGCGGTAGGGGAAGAGACGGTAAAAGGGAACCGACTCATCAAACGTGACGTCCTGAGAGGGAAGGACACGGAGCGAGGTGGGGTGGTAAAACTGCCAGCCAGGCGTGTCAGGGGGAAAGCCAAGGAAGACGCGGGGAATAGCGCGGGAGGAGAGTTTGTCCGCGGAAGTATCGCGGACAAAGGCACGAGAGCCCCAGACCCGGAACACCGACGCATCGCCAACCTTCCCCGTCCAACGCAGTGTACGCGAGGTCTTCGGCAAGGAGACACGAGGCCAGAGGTTGAGCTGATGCGCAGCGTACCGGGCCGCAAACGGCCACACAAAATGGGGAGCAGCCGCATGGATCATGGAGGTACGAGCCATCTCCATGACTAAGCCGATGCGGCGCTCAGCAACCCCATTTTGCTGCAAGGAGGCCGGAAGCGTGAACGGTCGGAGAATGCCCTCCCCACGACAAAAGTCCCGCAAGAGGTCGGAGGAGAACTCACCACCTCTGTCAGAGTGCATACGCAGGACAGGTTGGTCCTCACGGAACCGCTCGCGGAGCTGGAGACGGACTGCGCGGATCCAAGGGATCAAGACATCAGGGACCTCACTCTTGCTGCGCAAAGGGAAGAGCGTGGTGTAACGCGTGTAGTTGTCAACAACCAGCAGGAAGTTGCGCTCGCGGTCCTGTCCACTGACGCGGGCTGGGCCCCACACGTCCATGTGGAGAGTCTGCATGGGAGCAGTCGTCGGGGGAAATAAGGAGGAGTGAGGAGCGGCGCGCTGCCGCCCCTTGATGCAAGGAAGGCAGGGCGGGGCAGGCGAGGGCGGGAGGGGAGGCGGAGACCTGGGAAGACCAGAAACAAGGAGGCGGGAGTGCATGCCACAAAGGCGTGGCAGGGAGGGGTGACCCAGGCGGTGGTGTCAAAGGAGAGTCTGGTGCGACAGGAAGCAACATGAGCAAGGGGCTGCTACCGGACCTGACGCGGACACTTGAGCAGACGCAACTACATGAGGAGGCTCAGTAGTCAGTGTGTACAGACTCGACCCAGGCCGATGGGTGAACGTGGCCAGGTGACGGCCCGTCCGTGTACACGTGCAGATCGACACACGCTGACCCCCAGGAGTGGTGGTAGTGACCATCGCATCCTGGAGGGCAGCGGTACTCACCAAGTTAGTAGAGAACGAGGGGAGGTGAAGGCCTGAGAGTGAGCCGGACGGAACCGCCGGACACGGGAGAACAGTGGAGGAACGTGCAAGAACTGGGGCCCCTGAGGGGTCAGCCAGTCTGACTGGAACAGGTGCAGGGAGTGGAGTGAGGGTGGTACTCTCGCGAAAGAAACAGCGGGAAGCACCTGAGTCAAGTGTGAAGGTGTGTAAGGCTTCAGCAGGCGCAGTACCAGGGAGAGCAGACTCACTAGCACCTAGAGCAGCAGCCTCTATACCTGGGTCGGGCGGCACACACAGGTAATAGTCACTCCCAGCACTAACAGACAAGGCATACATGGTAGCAAGGATAGCATCATAGTCATGAGCTTAGATATCAACTCCAGACCTAAGCAGCTCTAGCCAACGGGGGCGCTCAGCCTCGTGGCCAAACTCTGCATGCCAAACATCGTCAAGGCGGGAGAAGCAGCGGTGCTGTGTGTGAAACTTCCCGCATGTCTGACCAGCGCGGTCACCTGTGCGAATGACATACGGGCAGCGAACACTACCCCCAGACGTCCCACGCTGAGCAAACCACTCACGAAGCTGTTGGGGCGTAGGGGTCTCGCTCCGACGCTGCTGCTGCTGCCTCTGGACACCGCCAGAACCTCCCCTCTGAACAGCTCCACCCCGACCGCCACCACTGCCGCCGCCACCACTCCCACTGCCGCCACCACCGCCACCCCCACCCCCACCGCTGCCACCACCGCCGCCACCGAAGCCCCCATTCCCGCCACCACTCCCACCGCTGCCACCACCTCCGCCACCTCCTCAGCCTCCACCGCCTCCACCACCACCACCCCCGCTGCCACTGCCACCACTCTTGCCACCCTTGCCCTTGCTGCTGCGGCGCTTCCCATTAAGAGCAGAAGCAGCCCCGACATCCTCAGTACCAAGGATGTCAACAGCAGCAGTAGAAGTGTAGGAGGGGGCAAGAGGGGAGGGGGAACACCCCTCAAAGAAGGGTGTGTGAGGAGTGCCACGAGCAGCACCTACAGCGACTACACTAGTCTCAGCTGCAAGGAGGTGCTTCTCGAGCAGGTCGAGAGTGAGGTATGTGGGGTCAAGTGCGAGAAAGTGGTCCCTTACTGCGCGAAGAGAGTCAAGGAGGTGGGTGACTATGAAGTAGAGAGTGATGTTCATCGGGGGCGGGTTCTTTTCTAGGAACTCGGCTGGGAGGGCAGCACGGTAGCGAGTGTCGCTAGTGCGAAGGTGGGTAATGAGGTCCTCGACTGTGGAAAAGGCTGACAGCTCAGGAAAAAGGTAGGTTAGCATAAGGCGGCCGAGAGCAGCAGTGGCAGGGGAAGAGTAACGAGCGACTACAGCGTCGTATATGGCTTTAGCAGTCTTGTGCTGGCCAAAGTGAGCGCGTTCGGCTAACGGCAGGTGGTTGCGAACGGCTAAGCGAGCAGCAGCGTCACGGGTAAGCCACTGTGAGCGAGTCGCACTGTCAGCTGTGGCGGGAGGGGCGAGAGAGGCTCCAGATGTGTGGTCAAACAATGAAACGCTGTCTCTAGAATCGCTCAGTAGGTACAGTTGTAAGTCGTCGAGCCACGTATCGAACTGGATCGGACGGCCCTCATGATCGAAGGTGAGAACACTGAGAGAAGCCATAGCGGGCAGAGCAGGATGGCGCTCGAGCAGCAGGGCAGCACGCAGGCAGGGCGGCGCACGAGCACTGGGGAAGCGCGCAGGGCAGGGAAAGGCGGCGCACGGCTAGGGAAGAGCGGCGCGCGGCCAGGGCAGGGCAGTGCAATGGCAGGGCAGGGCGGCGGCCAGCAGGGCGACGCGCGGGCAGCAGGGCGTCGGCCAGCATGGCGGCGCGCAGCAGGGCGGGCAGCAGCAGGGCGGCACGGGCAGGGCGGTGCGGGCAGCGGTGCGGCTGCCAGCAGGGCGGCGCGTGGGCAGCAGGAATTCTAGTTCATAGTTCATAGTTCATAACATTTTGACAATTTATAGTTCATTCTTTCCTGCAGAGTGATTCTGACATAAGTCAATGGTGCACTTCAGTAAATCAGTTTGATATGATAGGATAGGGCAGGGATGAGTCAAAGGTGTTATGGAGCATTTTGGACTACTGTAGTGTGCCTCTCCCTTAATTAGCAGTTAGCAGAGTTTTCCCTTACAGAAAATGATTGTGTCATGACATACACTCTATTACGTATCATGGGTGATGGTGCAAAGAGTGTCAATGACACCCCACTTGCTTGCAGGGATGGCAAACTGAACCAGATTATATTTAGCAAAGAATTGAACAGACGCCCTCAGCCTCCCATGTCAGCTGAGGATTTAAACAAATAGCAACACATAAGGGATGACCGGTTTCTACAGCTTCTCATCCCTCTCATAGAACACAACGTTCCCCTCACTTGGGACATAGTGATCCTCACTGAAAGACTTATAGAGGGGCCTGTATAGGTGGGTGGGAATTGGGCCAGGGCTGGGTTCGGGCTCACGGTAGTATTCTCCCATAACTGGCTTCACCGCCGCCGTCTGCATCAACG